CACACTACTATATGTTCAGCTGTATTCTAATTGCTTTAAATATATTAACTCACTAGTTAACTACTTAAAGTAGTGTTTCAGCACATAACAGGCTTTCAGTATGTGTTCCTGATTAGCACTGTTTCTTTTCTGCTGAGCAATCAGACCTAGACTTTCAGAGCTGAAAGAGACCTGATTCACTCACCCAGCCCTTCAATTCTGCAGAGCAGCGACAGGCCCAGGTAGGCTTGGTCACACAGCAAGCGGCAGACCCAGGAACACGTGATTCGGGGACACTTCCTATCGCTGTAATTGACCTCATAGGCCCTGCCTCCTTGGGTTTCAGTGTCTGGCACCTGTCTACAGATATACTTTGTGGCCGCACCCAGCAAGAAAATACCCCTAGGTCCTCAGTGGGCAGATGTCCGGTAGGGAAGACCTTACAAACACATGGACACATCAGCAACTCCTACAAAGGGCTTTAGGCCTTTCCAGAGAGCAGCCCCCACTGTCCACCTCCTGAAGTCACCTTCTCCACCACCACCTGTCAGTCACACCTACCAGGGCAGGAATCCTCTTTTATAGCCCCAGGGCAGATACTCTCTTTTCAGTCTCTTGAAATCTAGGGCAGGATGGAAAAACAAAAGGCCAGTGGGCAACATCAAGACAAGTAGGGGGCCCTACTCTTCCTTAACCTGCACGTGTTCCAAGGTCTGGGCTCCAGGGTCGTAGCTGAGCTGTAGTGCCCAACCTGGGCGGTAGTGATGACAAGATGTGTCTTTGAGAGGGCTTAGCCCCAAAATCTCCATCAGCCTTTCCAAGTTTTTGAGAGCCCTTTTATCTTTTAAAAACAGTTATGTAAATACTGGCTCAGGCTACAACACACAGCCATATACCCGCCCCCTGCAATTAGGTTCCACCCTCTGTAGCCCTTGGCTAAGATCCTCTTCTTGATTTAACCGGGAGTCCACCTGGGTCATATGTTCTCTCAAAACACACATAGTCTCTTCTGCTATCAAACATATCAGGTGGGGTTTGGCCCATGGTATAGGGCAGTGCTGTAGCCCCCAGACACCCCAACTTCTGTGCCATATTACCTCCATTCTTGGTTCTCCAAGGGTGGTTGCCCAAGGCCTGTCCCTTCTTAGGACCATGGGAGCCTTTCTTAGCCACTGACCGTATCATCAGAGATCCTGCCCCAGGGCCCATTCTTTTGGATGTCATCTCTAACTATTGAAGTTTTCTTCTGCAGTCACCTTCTCTTCCCAGAGGACAAAGTCTAAGCTCCAATGAGTGGATTCCATTGTAGTGGGTAGGGGCGTGGGTGGCAGAAGTGTTCCTCCTTCGCTTCTGATAGAGCACAGTACCAGGATATGAAATCATTAGTCTCTCCTGCTTTGAACTCCCCGATCAGCCCTTCTCTGCCTCTACCCGTAGCATGCGTCCCTAAGTGCCAGGCCTGGGCAGACTCCTTTCTCCTTCTGTCCCTGGTCTAGAGAGTTCACCCAAATTCCCATCCACACCTATCCTGGTTTTGCAGACATTTAGTTTAAGGGGAGAGCTTAATACCACCTCTGGGCAAGAAATCTCTTAAAAGTCAAGATCAGAATACTCTTACCTGGGGCCTCATAGCCCAGGCCCTTTGGGTGGGCAAAGGCAGACCTCATTACATTTGCAGTGTAGCTGTTACCTTCTGGGACCCCCTTATACTCTGTTCCTTCCTGGGTGCTGTCTGGCTTCTGGGTTGGGAGGAGCTCTACAGGGACTCTGCCTTATGGCAGCTCTCTAGGAGGAATTCCCAGAACTGGCCTTCCCAGTGAAGTGGGGAGGGACAATGCCTACAGTCTCACTTTACCCAGAAGCTAATTCCTTAATGGTTTTTAAGAAGGCTTCAATTTCTCCTCCTCTACCTTCTTTTTTATTACTACTACTACCACCATTGAAAGTCCTTGAGAAAATCCCAGTAAATTAGCCCGAGCTAGTCTGTTGTCACCCCTGGTGCTCAAAGTTCTTACTAGATGGAGTTTGCTCTTCTCCATCTGTAGTCTCTCATCTACAGAAGCCCAGGACATCGGGGGTTGGGGAGGACAAAGGAAGATTGTGGGCAGGTGGACAGTCTCTCCTTAATCACATTTCCTGGCCATCCTAAGATTAGAACGTAATAGAAGTTGTCTGCTTCAGGGTCTTCCTTTCTTTCCTCCCTCCCCCTGTGCATAGCCAGCTGCTTTCCTATTATTATCTAAATATACAGAGTAAGCTGTTCAATTTTACTCTTCTTCTGTAAGCCACAGTGAAGACTGAAAACAAGTCCCAATCACCATCCTTCATCATTCATTAAGAAACAAACAAACAAACAAACAAACAACCTACTAAACCCCGACTGGCTAGGCGCCAGGTATTGTTTCAAACACCATCTCCTGAGACTGTTCTTCTCCTTACCCCACCCCACCCTTATAAAAAGCTCATCCCAATTGCCTAGAAAGTTGTACATCCTTTGATTAGTTCTGTTTTGTTAATTTAAGGGTAAATAAATCTTTTCCCACTCCTTCACAGTTTGATTATTTTTGCAGTAGTTCAACAGGGACTAATTTTGAAGCTGCTCACCTAGTGCTAACAGATTCAGAAAACGTTTTGAAAGGGTTGGTTTTTACTCATTTTAAAAACAGGTGCTACCAACTGTAAAAGAAACTGTCCTCCTAAGTAGTCACTGTGGGGGGAAAGGAAAAGTGGGTGTCACACAGTCTGGGCTCACAGCCCCCATGCTTCCTAGCTAATGAAAGTCACATCAGGAAATGGGTTTAGAAATTCCTGGAGAATGGCTGGGAATTAGGATGCAAAGTGATCTTTGTAGAGAAGGGTCTCTTTCATGGACTTGATGGAACGTACTGATGAGAATTTTTGCCACCAAATTTGACATAGAAACCATGTGTGCGCGCTTCACAAATCTACACAGAACATCCAGTTTTGTTTTGTTTTTTAAATCAGAATTGTCAAAACCACAGGTTTTCACACTGTTTAGTGGCAACTCTGGCAGGCTACAGAAGGATGCTGGGGATCAGTTCTTTGTATTTACTTCTGATGGTGGGAGCTGGGGGCATCGTTCCCACCTCATCTCCTTCTAGCATAGAAAGTTGCACTCTGGCAGGGCAGCCCTCGGGCCAAGCTCCTTTGGTAGGCTTTCTCAGCTGGAGAGCACGCTCCCCACCCCCAGCTCTCTTAGGTTCTCCCTCTGGTGGGAGAGACGGTTCAGCAGTTGGGGAGAGGACCCACCAAGGTTTGGGCTCTGGACCAGGAGCCGCAAGCCCTGTGGTTGGGGCTGTGTGGGAGTGGGGACATCTGACTTCCCGGGCTCGGGTTCCTTGAGAGTCTCATTTGCTTCCTCACACCCTCTCCCCTTCACACCAGGGCTGTTTTATTGTTTTATAACCTTCTTTAGAGTTTCAGTTGCCAAAGATTCCAATGGGGCTATTCTCCACTTTCTCACTTTACCAAACCCCAAGTCTTGCTGTTTTAAGCAGTTTGGTCACTTGGAAAGGCTTTCCTTTCAGATCTAAGCAAATTATAGAAACCTCTAGGTATGTGGCTACCTTCAGCTTTGCTGAGCCCATCCACAACAAAAACCAAGTGTTAACTCCAGCTGCCACCCCACCCCCACGCCCACCCAGCCTCTCCCAACCACCTTTTTTTCTATTGAAGTTTGAACAAAATCTTAAATAATTTCTGGTATAAGCAAGCAAAAAGTGGCCTTTTATTTTCCTCTTTATTTATTTACTACATCTATAGCTAGAAAATGATTGAAATAAAGGAGTTGAAGGTACTTACAGTGAATGCAGCCAAAGAATCATAAGACATGCCCACCAACCAGCCTTTTCCAAATAGTACTATCTCCCAACTTAAACAGACGTCTCTGAAAAGATGCTATTTGAAAAGCCTGGGGTATTGATATGAATATGACCCTCTTGCATCCTGGATATTTGGAACTATTTAAATGTGAGGGAACAGTTGCAGTGAACCTTTATTTAGTGAATAAAAGTTTAAAGCCAAAGGTTATTTATGGTTCTGCAGAGATGGGACCTGAATGGCTATTTACGAGCACGTGATTCCAATAAACTTTGTTTTATGGCTTGAGAGTTGACAAGCCAAAATATAATTCCCACCATAAATTAGGTTAAGAGCATACAAGTGCAGATGCTTGGTTCCTGGAGCAGCGATAGGAAAGTGAGAGGTTCCAGCTAGCACCCGGCTCCATGGAGGCAGTTCTACTCCCAGCTCCCATGCCCACTAGGAGAGAAAACCAGTAAGTCATTTACTTTCTCCAGGACAGCTCCAGGGGTGGGGGATTTTTCTGCCTCTCTTTTCCTCCTGGGGTGAGAAGTCATCCCATCAAAGTTAATTCTAATTTTAGCCTTAACCTAAATTAACAAAGAAAAAGAGAATCCTGGTTTTCTCACCTCCCTCTGGACCCAGAAAGTTAGGAATTGAGGTACCCCACCTCACCAAGACGGGCTTACTGTCTGTCTCTTCCCCAAATCGAGCGTCTGTTTCAGAAGTGTGGAATTAGACAGTGGTAGTCTAGATGGTAAGAGAGAAAGGATGAGGATGATGATGGCTTTGCTTCTGAGATTTCTCAGAGAAGACCGCCATCCCAGAATAAAACTAGGGGAGACTGAAAACTTAAAGCTGAATGCCAGTCTGTGGGAGGACTACTGCTTTGTGAGATTGCTCTGTGGTTCCTCCAGCAGCAGTGCTGAAAACTCGTGCCATATCACAGGGCTGGATAACAATCTAAAGCATTGCCATTTACCTTGAAACCCATTGATTCTTCTCCTTGGTTATCATTTGGGTCCTCATTTCCCTTGGAAATAGCTCTTTGTTTTGAATTGGAGCATAAGTGGGAAGGCAAGTCCCAGCCTTGCTGGTCCTTCTTTGGGAAGAAGACAGGTTTTGGGAGCGCCAGTTTGGGGTTGGGAAATTTGAAACCAATATGAAACTGGAACAGGGGACTGAATTGTTTCCAACAGGAGATAGACGGAAAGCTGGGGCTGGGGACAGATGCAGCGACTGCCACCTCCCAAGTGGACCTGCGCCCACCCAGCCGATTCTGCATAAGGAAACACACAAAGGCCCGTTTTCTCCTCGCTTCCCGTGTGTCTGAATCGGGCCAAGCAACCAGTAAGGTTTTGCCCAAGGGTGCGTGGAGTGGGGGAGGTGATGTGGGTCATTCGCGCCTACTCCGTGGGTCTGCCCTTGAGGACTGCGGTCGCTCCTCCGCGGAGAACTTGGCGCAGTTCCTGGGGGCGGACACCCAAAGCAGGGAGGTCTTTGTATTGGTGGGGTGCCTGGGCCTTGTCATTTTTCTGTGTATCATCTATCTCTGCTTTACTTTCCTGTGGAATTTAAGTGATGCCTGTTTTCATTGCAACAGGTTTGGGACCAGGAGGGACTGCCACTGTAAGTACCTTCCCGTTTCTTCCGAATTGCGAAGAGGCGATGTTAATAGCTGGGGAGGTGGCGGGCAAGGGCCGTTCAAGGGGAGTGGGCGGGTGGAAGAAGGGCCCTGCCTCCCCTGGCCTGGTGGTGGGAGGGGAGCTCGCTTTGGAGGTGGAGGCTTTAAGTTGAGCTCCTGGGAAGATTTGGGGGGCCTAGTTCACAGTCACCTAATTAAGGGAACGTGCCGGCGCAGGCTTTCACCCATGTCTTCCTGGGCCTCACTGGACCTTCCCGGCCTTCCCAGGGCTTCCCAGCTCGCACAGGTGCAGCTCCGCTGCGCAGTATGCTTCTCTTAAGAGCTTGCTGCTAATTAGCAGCCCGCCCTAATATGTTGCGGCAAGCGTCGCCTCCTGCCAGACCAACCTGCCAAACGCCAAGGCAGCTGACCTCCCGCCGCAGCCCAGCCCAGTCAACCCGGTCCGCCTGGCCCCAACCTCCTCTTTCTCTCTGTCTCTCTCTGTTTTAATAAAGAGAAGAAAGAAAATGAGAGAGAGAGAGAGAGAGAGAGAAACAAACCACACTGTACAGCGGGTGTGTTGAGTGGGCCCTCTTCCGGGAAGGACTGCGAGTTCCGAGCTTTAGGTGGAAGTCCCTCCTCGCCCCTCCCCCGGCCCAGCCTCTGCGGTTGGGGCTCTCGGTGGCAGACACCGGCTGGGCGAGGAGAGAGGAGTACGGCCGGGCCCTTCTCGTTCACCTCCACTCCTCTGTAGCTTTAATTCGACAATTCTTGTGCCCGAGCCTCTGCTGTTGCAGGCAGAGGTATTGGGTCTGAGGATTGATTGATTGGGAGAGGTATTGGGAAGGATGAGGTGAGGGTCTGGATTCTTGGGGTCCTGGGCTGGGAAGTTGGGTCCTTCTGAGTTGCATGTGGCACGGAAGACAGGTACAGATCTGAGGGGGTCTCGGCGAAATTTCAGGAAGACTATCTCCTTACCATGAAAGCAGTGGTGGGAAAATCAAGGGAGGGAAAGCAGCGGCCCCTCCCTCACTACAAAATGGAGATGATTTTATTTTAATGAGAGATGGAACACCGAGAGCTGTAGGAATAAGGCACACTTCCTCTCTACTAAGACCTTCTCTCCCGGGTCGGAGAAGCTGGGACTTGGCTCTGGGCCAGGTTTCTTTGCCCTGCAGGCTGGGCAAAGAAACATCCTGGGGGTCGATTCCCCAGAGGTTGTGCTCACCCCCAGAAGTGGGCATTTCACCAGTACATAGTCCCTTCTACCACCCAGGCTGGGCTCCAGGCTGGAAAACCTGGTATCCTCCGGATCCTCTTGTCTTGCCCCCTTCCTGCCACTGCCCTGGCTCTTGGGTGCTTATCCCTGCTGATGCTTCTGGTTTGAAAACCCACATTCGGCACCTTGTAGCTGAACACAGCACAAAACCCGGAGAGATCAAAAGCATTTGTATGAACAGTTGTGAGGGAGGTGAATATTTAACACTTTTGTTCATCAATAACTCGTTGGCTTTGACCTGTCTGAACAAGTGGAGCAATAAGGTGAAATGCAGGTCACAGCGTCTAACAAATATGAAAATCCGTATTCTCACCAGATCCCTACCTAGCGCAGCAGGATCCCCCAATTTGTGTGGATAAAGCCTGGGCCCAGTGTCCCCAAGACAGCGGGTGTGTGGGAGCGCTTGGCAGTAGGGAAAGTTGGGGTGAACCCCTCTGGGCCAAGGGAAGTGGGTTTGGGGCAGCTTCAGAGCTCTTGTTAGAATTGGCACCAGGAAATCCCTACAAAATATCCAAAGAACTGGAACCAACGATTAGGATGGGGTTGGGGGAGTGAGCAAAGTACAGAGTAGAAGCAAATAGCCAATTTTGCCAGTCTGGGACGGGGGGGGGGGGGGGGGGGGGCAAAAAGGAGTCTCCCTGCTTCCCTGCTCCACTTAACCAGGCAGGAACTAATTTTCGAATCGTGAAGGGAAAAATCAAAACAAAAAACATTTTAACACCTCTAATGTACAGGCAGGAGTCCCAAAACCCTACTGGAGCCCAGGCATCCCTCTGTCCCTGAAATCCACCAGGGCCTTGAGTGCGCCTGTACTCTTGGTGCCCTGAAATGAGGGTTGAGCCCCAGACAGCACCGAGGCGCTGGGGTGGGCGTGTATTTCGTGAACTTTTGTACTTGTGTGCTGCCGTCGGCAAAGCAAAAATAATGAAACTTAGTGATATGTTTGTAAACGATTTCGAATGACCCCTCGCCCTGCCCTTCACCATTAGTACTCTGGCCCCAACCCAGGGCAGCTCAGTGCCTGCAAGCAGAGCCTGCCTCGGGGGTCTGAAGCAGCAGGGGCAGCAGGACTGAGAGGCCAGCCACCAGCCGGGCTCAGGGCCCAGGAAGGTGGACGTGCGACTTCTTGAAGAACTGGCTTTGTCAGTCAACCTGGCTTGCCCAGCAGTGCGAAAAATTATGGACGGAGGATATTCCCCTCTTGCCTTTCTTGTGCCACGAAGAGCATTTGCTCCTTTCTGGAAAATACCACTTGATAAGGGGGAGCTGCTATTTGGATCTGGAGAAGGGGAATAATAAAGCAGCCATTTCTGGGATGGATTTTTTTTTTCTTCCCTAAGAAGACTGTCCTGGCTCCTTGACTGTTTGGTAACCCCAGCCCTCGTACAAGGATGGGGAGCTCGTTGCTACAAATTGCCACCAAGCCCTTCAGGCTACCTGAACTGTCTCTGAAAATGCGGGCGGCTGTGTCGGGCTGGTGGTGGCTCCGAGGAAGAGGACAAGGCTGGCATTGGCCTGGGTGCCCCGTTTGGGTGGAACCTGGAGGTAGTAACGTTGTCTATATATACCCTGTAGAACCGAATTTGTGTGGTATCGACATAGTCACAGATTCGATTCTAGGGGAATATATGGTCGATGCAAAAACTTCATTTTTCTCCGAAATAGCCTGAGTCGGAAGGAGAGGCCAGAAGCAGCCGTGGTGGGTCAGCTGCCTCTTCCTCTTTTATTACATTGGACTCCAGGAGGATCGACCGCGCCTGGTGGCACAGAGCACCTTTTTCTTGGAGAAGCACTTCACCTCTATACAGAGGTTCCTGTATAAACCATAATTGGTTGCATGAATTCAGGGCCAAAAGGCTAGGTTTGGGAGGACCGAGGAGTGAGGTCTGAGGCCAGGTCACCCCAGCTTTGCCCTCAAGGAGCACAAGGTTGGGGGGAGCCCAATGAGAGGCTCACTGGACATGGACTGCGGGAAGAAGGCAAGCTGGAGAGAAGGGGTGCAGGGTCCTTTGGGATACATTTGAGTGGGGTGGCGGTGCCCTCACTGTCTTCCTGGAGCACCCCTTAGCTTCACAGGCTGAGGCAGTGGGAGACTCTTGTCATACTCGCAAGGCCCGGCTTTGGCTAAAAACATCCCAGCTTGGGCACTCACAGAAAGCTTCGTGGTTACTCATTGCCTAAATTGATTCAGGCCAGTCAGACTGTGGTAACTTTTGGGTGACCCTGATGAAGACAAAGCCAGGACTCAGCCTTTGTATGGCACAGTCCCTGTTCCCGCGGCCGGGCTGGCGGGAGCTGAGTTGGCGGGAGCCCTGCCTGCTGGGGTAGATGCCTGCCTGCCCAACTCAGATGCTACCTCACCCACCTGCCTTTTGGTGCCCACACCCCAACACACGTGGGGATTCACTCCCCCTTGAACTGTGCCTACTTTGGGGGGCTGTTTTTCAGGCGGGTTGGTGGGTGGCAAGGGCACTGGAGGTTAGCAAAGTCAGAGGCAGACAAAAGCTGGGATTACCTGCGGGTGAAGAGGGTGTTGGGGATCAGAGGTACATTAACATCTGGTGAGGGCCCTCATGTGTGCCACAGCGAGTCTCTTGATTACACGTATGTTATTTAGTTAAATTTGTGAAAATTATGAGATGCTCACCAACCCGGTGATAAACTCGCCTCCTCGCTATTGGCTGGCTTGGTCACATGGCCGCCAACTTTATTCAGTTGACAGCAAGTAGGAGGGCCCTGTGGAAGGAGAAAAAAAGACAACACGAGAAAAATTAGTATTTTCTACCTTCTGAAATTAATGGCCATGAGTTCGTATATGGTGAACTCCAAGTATGTGGACCCCAAGTTCCCCCCGTGCGAGGAATATTTGCAGGGCGGCTACCTAGGCGAGCAGGGAGCAGACTACTACGGCGGAGGCGCGCAGGGTGCCGACTTCCAGCCCCCGGGGCTCTACCCACGGCCTGACTTCGGTGAGCAGACCTTCGCAGGCGGCCCGGGTCCGGGCTCGTCGCTGCCCACCCGGGGTCACCCTCAAGAACCGGGAAGCCACTACGGCGCCCCGGGAGAGCCGTGCCCGGCGCCTCCTGCGCCCCCACCCGCACCCCTGCCAGGCGCCCGGGCCTGCAGCCAGCCGGGCGGCCCCAAGCAGCCGCCCCCGGGGACTGCACTCAAGCAGCCGGCCGTGGTCTACCCCTGGATGAAGAAGGTGCACGTGAATTCTGGTAAGGCGTGGGCCGGCAACCTCTCAGTCCCCACGCCAGCCCAGCGGCCTGGGCCCTGGGAGGGGGCTGCGAGTGGGTGGGAGCTTCAGTGGGCGCCTCAATTACTCTCTCCATAAAATTTTTATAGCTGAGGGAGCAGGCTGGGACCCTGTGGCTGGCTGCTTGTCTGTGGGCAAAAAAGGGGGTGGAGATGAGGGTGGGGTGGGGGAGGACTCCATTTTCAGAGCAGAGGGTACGCGGTGGAGGAAAGGGGGCTTTCCAAAATGCTTGGAAATTCCGGAGCTTTCGGTGAGCAAAGTTAGGGACCCCCGCCTGCTAGCTTGGGGAGTGTGTGGGTGTGAGAGGGTGGGTGGCAGTGAGCGTGCGCCGGGAGAGAGGGAGGGAGGGAGGGAAGGGGAGCAGGCTTGGAGCGCGGGGAGGGCCTGGGGCCTCGGGGAGCGCCAGGAAGTGAGCAGCGCTGGCCGGGGGCCTAACTAGTGGCCAGGCGCTGACCTGACCATGCTGTCTGTTTTGCTTCTCAGTGAACCCCAACTACACCGGCGGTGGGGAGCCCAAGCGGTCCCGGACGGCCTACACTCGGCAGCAAGTCCTAGAACTGGAAAAGGAATTTCATTTTAACAGGTATCTGACGCGGCGCCGTCGGATTGAAATCGCTCACACGCTGTGTCTGTCCGAGCGCCAGATCAAGATCTGGTTCCAGAACCGGAGGATGAAGTGGAAAAAAGACCACAAGCTGCCCAACACCAAAGGCAGGTCCTCGTCGTCCTCATCCTGCTCCTCCTCAGCCACTACCCCCGGCCAGCATTTGCAGGCGCTGGCCAAGGACCATACGGACTTGACGACCTTATAGAAGTGGGGACCCTGGGCCCATCCCTCCCTGCACTCCCGGCTGAGCCGAAGCTGCGGGGGCAGGCCGGGCCTGCTGTCACCTCGTTGGGCTCTAAGGTACTGTAGGGTGGGCCTGGGACATGCAGGCCGCCCTCGGACTAGGTTAGCATCCTGCCCGAGGGCAGCCCCTCCCTGGAGCGGGTGCGGGGGTGGAAGGGGGGGCGGGATTCTCTCTCTCTAAGTATATTATCATATGGCAGGAGCTACTGAGAACACAAAACCTTGGTGAGTCATTAAACTCATGAAAAACCTTCCGCTGTTGGATCTTGAATTTGCAAGTGAAGGTTGAATGCTTTATCCCAGTGTGAATTTGAACATCCTCCCCCACCCCACCCCTCCAGGGATCTTTGTGGTTTAATAACGTGGGGGAGTTGAGGCAGCACGTTGGCCACCTCTGTGCTAAGTGGAAGCAGGAGAGCTGGGCCAGGATTTCTGAACTTTCTGGGTTGTCTATTTAATTTCCAGTGTGAAGAAAACAAATATATATATATTTTTTGTTCCCACTGGCCCCATGCCCAAAGAAATGAGTCTAAGAAGGAAGTGGAAACGGGTTATTTTATGTTTAGATTATATTTGCTTAAATATTTATTTGCTGGGGAATGGGGTACACGAATAACTGACATCTTAGTGCCAAAACCCTTAAGATGGTAAAAAGGGCAGAATCAGAGATGTGTGGACTTCTGGCTGTAACTGGTATTTTGAACCCCACCCCCTCCCTCTTCCCCAGAAATGGGGGGGGGGCACTTAGCCCTACTAGAGGGAAGCAGAGGGTCCATTCTGAGTTGAGTTCTTGGAACTATGTTTCCACATGTACTTTTTTCAGCACTGTGCTACAACAAGTTCTGAGTGATTAAAGGAAAGAGGAAAAAAGAAAGAAACAAATGGTCCAACATTTTTCTTCTGGGGAAAGAAAACAAAACCTCTATGTTCTGGGTCATTAGATAATGGCTGAATTTTCTGTTCCAACTGAATTCCAAATGTCCACATAGCCCATATAGTAATATTTTTATAGGAATTGGTGTATGGTCTATATGGGAGAGGGGGTATTGAGGCGGGGGGGGAGGGTGGGAAGTAGAGGAAGTCTTACTTTAAAAAAGAAAAAAAATTAATTGAATCTAGAAGTCCACAAAAGTTGGTCTCAGGGGTTTTCCCCTGAGGTTTTTATTTTTAAAACAAATCTTGAAGAAGTTTTCCTCAATCTATTAGTTAGAAGCAGAAATTGTAAAAGTACCAAAGTTGTCAGGCCCTATTCCTTTCCTTGAGAATAGTGGTTTAAAACAATCCTCAGACAACAGGAGGGATGTTCTTCAGTCATTTCTCTAATGCCTTGCCTGGTAAGGGTTCAAAGCTCATTCTTCTAAAATGTTCACCCTTAGGGATAAGGGGGAAAGAGTCAAAGATAATGACCAGAGTTCATATACTCAAATGAAGCAAGTCTTCGAAAATTTAAACCCCAAAGCCTCAGGCTCCAAAAAGAAACCCCAGGTTGTAGCCTTTGAAAAGTGATAAAAGTGGGGAGGGAGAAGGAGTGAGCTTGAAAGAGAGACTCAGAATTGGGGTTAGTTTCTCAATGCTTCAGAATACTTTAGAAGGTCTCAGTGGTAATTTAAAAATACATCCAAGTGTAGGGGAAAGAAAAGACTTTTCTCTGCAGTTGTGTTCTTTGGTTCAGTGTCTCCTGAGAGCTCAGGGCAGGTATTCACTGGAGTCCGAGGCTGAAATTCCACTTCTCTAAAGTATCCTCCAAGCCTTGGTCTTTTGTATCAGACCCCGGGGACAGCTCTTTGTTCCTCTTTGGGGTGAGCCTGGCTCTCAGACTTGCACATGGCAATACTTGAATATCAGCATGTCGGGATATTAAAGATGGATATTCCTGCATTATTCCCATCATTGTTTCTATGACAAAAAGCACAGAGTTCATACATAGTCAAGATGTCTTTTTTCTGACGCCCTCACGTTGAGAAGCTGAAAAGGTATTTTACTGAAGTTCGGGGCTAAATTACAGAATCAGGTTCATCCAGAGGACAAATTTTCTATTCGATTAGCTGTATTTCAGCCGGGAGGACTGACCTCTAAACCCTTAACCTTTTGGACTCTAACTACCCTTCTCTTCTTTTTTTCCCCTCGAACGTGGAGAGCGGTCTTTGGATGTAGCATTTGAAAAGGGCCGCTGTCCTCAGGCAAGTTGAAAAGTTGCTAAGATTCTTTCCTTAAACCCAAATCTGTGAATACGTGTAACTTCTCCTTGGGAGGGGAGAGAAGTATATGTTTTCACAGCATCCAACTACATATACAGGGGTGGGCAAAAGTGGGTTTACAGTTGTATTATAAATGAATAATACAATAATTGATAAATAATAATACAAGGATAAACTCTGTGTTTCACGTACTCACAACTCTAAACCTACTTTTGCCAACCCCTGTATATTATAGAGATTATTATATAGATTTCCCCCCTTCGAAAAAGTTCAGGTCACCTACCCTAGCTTTAGACCAAATGCCAAAATTACTTAACTGGCTTTACAACCCTGTCCCAGCAGAAAGCCAAGTGGCATGTTTTGATGAAGAAAATCCAAGCTCATTCTCAAACATAGCCCCATTACTTAGGAAAGTAACTTAATCAGAGAAACAACTTCTTTGTTTATAAGTCCTCAGCTATCCTTCTCAGCTTCCAGGGACTGTCTTTTGAAATGTTAATGGAGCATGGATGGCCCAGAGGGCAGCTCAAGACCCTGGGGTCCCAACTGGACCCCACTGTCCATTTGGGCCTACAGGACTGGGGCAGGGAAGAAGCAGGGCCCCCCAACCACCCAGGGCAGGGAAGGAAATGAGTTTCCATCTGGGAACGTGCTCTGCAGAAAGCTGGATGGAGAAAGGCTCAGTGCCCATTTGCTTGTATTTGTTTCTATTTTGTTCACCCAAATATGAGCCAGAAGTGTTTGTTTTGGTGTTTTTTTTAAAGCTGTATTGGGGTCGTGACTAGGGGGAACGGAGTGTTTGCTGAGGACTTTGCCGCTCAGACTCCCGTCTCACTCTGTCCACTACAGTCTTTTGTTGGGAGAAGACGTTGTCAGTCAGCCCATGGTGTCTGTTTCACACAAGGGACTTTTTAAATAGAATCGACCAATGTTCTGCCACTGATTAAAGTCTTATTTATACTAATTGTTGCCTGTAGTTTTGATGTAATTCATTGATCTATATTTGAAATAATAAAAGGTATAGCAAAATCTCCCTCCTGTTTGGTGCCTCCACAAAAGCATTTTCCATTAAGTCTCCTGAAAGCTAATGTTTAATATATAAACAATTTTTTTAATTTTCTGCAATGTCCCTGGCATATGAAGTTTATACTGTGTAAGGTTTAGCGATTCTATCATTCCATCCTCCCCATACATACATACTCCCAATTTGACCAGCTTTGTGAACATTGGGAAGCCTGGGATTGAATTCAGGCTGTTGGGTGGTGGGCACTATTTTCGAAAGGAAAATAAGTTACTGGCCTCAAAGGAGTCTCCAGGCTGGCTTTCTGCATTGGCTCCAGTTAGCCCCAGACCCCTTCAGCCTCTGTGACCGGTGGGTGAGAGACGGCCCCATCCCCCAATTCTGGGAGAGGGTGTACACGCAGGGTTCTGGGCGAAGCTGGAACTGGCTGGTGGCTGCTCTGACCTGACCGCACTGGCCTCCAATCTTGGGTTCCTTGGGCTTTTCCTGTGCTGCTCAGCCCCACTGGGCCTCCAGCACCTGCCCCTCCTTCGCCCATTCCCCACTCCGCCCTCCAGACGACAATAAACACTCCCCACTATAAAAAGTGGCCGTGCGCTATTTTTATCGCGAGGGCTTTTTCACGTTTTGGCGTCGCCTTGAAGAGGGGCCAAGACAGGAGTTCCAAAGTAGATGGGGTGGGAGGGCCCGGCTCGAGACAGGAAATGAGCAGAATGCGTAAAATCAGACATGTGTCCTTAATATATGGAAGCGCTCGCCTCAGACGCGTGGACATGTGTATTTATAAGTGCGCAGACAGAAGTTTAAATATTCAGACAAATTTTATGATTGTCCTTTGCCTGTCTTCTGGCTAATGGCTCCTCCTGTGCCCACCAATACATCAATAGACTGTGTGCACTGAATCACCGGCTGGATGAGGACGCCGCGAGCGCGCAGCGCAGCCCGCCGGAGTCCAGTACAGTAAACCGGCCCCTCGGCGGGCGAGCGAGCCGTGCTTCCCGCCCGCGCGCCCGCCATGTTGGGGAGCCCTCCCCGCCCCCCGCGCCGGGCTGGCGGCCGGGGCTCGCCGGCAGCTGGGGGAGGGCCTTTCATAACCCGGAGAATTTTCAAAGTGCGAGGAAGATGATAAGAATAGATTTCTACAAGTCCCGACCACGTGATTGGTGAAATAATTAATTCAGCACGTCCCTTAAGAAACACGGAGTCGTCATTAATCTGCCACGCAAAGGGCTCTCTTCGACTTGGAAAGTGCAGGGATCCCAAGAATATCACCCGCCCAGGGGGGCCCCCCACACGGCGTGCGCAGGGGAGTGCAGCCGGCAGGTAAATATTTTGGCGACTTTTATTTCTTCAGATTTAAATCCTTAATGAATTTAGCTGTCAGGGCCGCTGACAAATAGTTCCTTTAGTTTCCTGATTTGGAATCACGCGCTGGCGAGAAGTTGTTAGTGGCTTGGATGGTGACCTTTGGTTCAGCAAAGCTTTGCGCTTATGAAAAATTACTGAGTGCTGCCGAGAGTGTGTGTGTGTGTGTGTGTGTGTGTGTGTGTGTGTGTGTGTGTGTGTAAGAGAGAGAGAGAGAAGAAAAGGGGCGAGGGTGCGCACAGGCTGTTCGGAGACAACAGGAGTTGTAAAAACTGGCCGGCTGGGGGACGCGCCTGGCGCACGCGGGGCGAGGTTGCCCGGTCGCCTGTGTCTACCGGGAACAATGGTCGCTGTCACGGCATCTGCCGCCTATTCTTA